ACATTTTTGTTATTAATCTTCGTTTAAAAATAATTAAAAATAAACGTAAGATAATTAAGATATAATAATTCAATTGAAATGGGATAAGAATACGTTTAATCGTTGAATACTGAATTAAGTTTATAAAAAATTCGAACTTTATGATTAGCCGTATAGTACAATGTTTTATCGACTTGATGCTCAATAGTTAATGCAAATATGGCAATATGGCATGAGCTGAGCCTTGACATAAAGTTCTGTGACTTGAGTCAGTATGACTAAATGTGGGTAGATATGCACATATGCATATTTATACTACTTATATATGAATACATATATGCTTTTATATTTCTTTTGTTTTTCAAGTCTTGTGAGGAAACGTTGCTTCTTTTTTCTTGAATATATTTTTATTTTTATTTTGTTTTTCGATTTTGTTCATACATATGTGTGTACATACTCGTAATGTATATTTTACTGTTGCTGTTGCTGTTACTGTAGGGGTCTATTGATAAGACCCGTCATTGCCCGTCGACCGCACACACACGCACACACGTGCGCTAACACACTCATAATGTGACATACATACGAACGAGCCGAGGAACCGCAGTTTTTGCTATGGTGGCGCAGCTTTGCTCTGAACACTTACGCATACGAACACATCGTATATAGCGAACATACATAGACATATGAATACACATATGTATGCATACATGTATATATATATACCGTGCTCATACATTTGTGGAGCACTTGTTCGGTGAGCAGCGACCCCAAAACCTACCCCCGTACCCATACACAATGTAGCCACTGGCCCCTTCTAGCAAGCAACGCAACCGCCTCCGTCAACTCCGCCTTTGCCTGCGCCACTACCTCTGCCTTAGGCTACGACTCTGGCTCTGGTTCTGCCTTAGCCTGCGCCTGCGCCTCTGCCTCTGCCTCTGCATGCGCTTGCTCCACAACGACGTTGGGAGTATTTGTAGCTACGAGTTTGGGTTCGTTGTTCGTCATGCTGGTTTCATGTGATCGTCGTATTTCTTCTTCTTTTTCAAATTTGTAATTATATACGCATAGTTGCTTAGTATATACATATACATATATAGTATATATAGTCTATAACTTACTTAAGTTTTAGGCCAATAGATAGTAACTTTTAAACATGAAATTATAATCGACATATAAGAAAACGATCCCCAAATATATATAATAACATCATATAAAGTATTTTAAGAAAACCTTGGCTTTGGCTATGCATATATTTTACCGTTACTTGTGTGTACCAATTAAAAAAAAAAATATATTAAAACCAAAGCAAAATCATGAAAGAAATCTCATTGGTAGGATTCCTAATAAGTATATCAATCATCAGCTATTAAGAAATATAACTTTTTAGTTTTCCAAGAAAACATTTAAGATGGACACAATTGAGATAAAAGAAAAATTACCTTATCAATTGCTTATAAAAACAATAGTTTTCCTCACAACATTTCCTTTATCTATATAGTTTATATTTTAGTTAAGCAAAGTCCATTGAAGCACTCACCATGCAACACGTGCGTCATTCTGACGCGTGCAAAGCTCAGTTGGGAATAAGTCGATCGATTGGATAGTAATCCACGGTTGCCATCAGATCCGTTGCGCTCATTATGAGGGGCGTTCGACGAGACACATGTGGTCTATGGCTGATGAAGAGATCGTAGAGCGAGGACCGTCGATCGCAGATCGGGCATCGGGCATCGGGCATCTGGCATTCACGCACGCACATACACACACACACACTCGATCGTTGAGTCGCATGCTAAGCAAGCGTTAAATTTGTAATTTGTTAGCGCGTTTGCATTTGAGCTCGTTCGACATTTTCGTAGGCGTCAACCTTGTTTATGCGACCACATAAATGTGTCACAGTCAACTCTTTTGGGGTATTCCGGGCGCCCCTTGGGCTGTTGTTTAAACTCCGTCACGTTTTGTGGTCAAATATTTTTACCAAAGGATTTTCCATGCGCCGGCGCAACAATTTTCCATAACGAGATTTCGCGCTAAAAATGTTTGCCTTGGTGCACGCCCACTGACAATCGGTGTGATTATCACTCGGCACGGCCCACAGGAAACCGGAGGCGGAAGATAGAAGACGGCACCCGCATCTGTCCGAGCGATCGGAGCTGAAACGCTCCGAGCGGCGACTTACTACTACAACTTTTCAAATGCTACTCGTGAGACTGAGACCCCGGTTCCACCAAAGCAACACGAGTAAAATATTCTTGATTAAAACTTATCAGAGCACATTTCATATCACCTTTTCAAAAACGCAACACATAACAACAACAACAAGCCACAGTCAACTCTCAATGAGTAACGCTCGTCAGCTCGGTAGCTACTTTATTATCGGAGCAAACGGTCGAACTCGTTCCCCGTACCTCGTTTCCCGTTCCCCGATTCCTCGATTTTCCACTTACCATTCCCTGCTGCTCGGTATGTGTAGTTTGGCTGCCTCTCGGATTGGACGACCGCAAGATATGGCTATCTGAACCGGAACACTGTACCACCCAGCCCCACAGACGCCACTGGGTGAAGAGAGAGAGAGAAACAGAGAGAGAAGAACGAGAATGAGAGAGAGAGAGAAATGGGAGCCAAACACGATTTGATTAAGTTGCATCACGCGTCGGTCGCGCGACTATACTTATCGGACCAACTGTATGTCTCTGCCTATATACATACACATATAAGTCATGTATGCGCGATTATGCCTCCATATATCCTTATCAATATTTCTATACGTTTGGAAAGGTTTTGTTTTGGTGACGATGACTACGGAAACTTGGGAAACACCGCCAGCACTGATTGCCGCTATCTGAGATGTTCATGTAAAAAAAAAAAAAAAAAAAAAAAAAAAAAAATATAATAATAATAATAATTGGCACGTCAAAAGATTGCAGCATTTACGAAAGGTATATTTAATTGTGAATGGTTTTATCAACTTAATAAATAATTTGTATACAGATTCAATCAGCTATCTGTTCAACAATCAGTTTAATAAATGTGTAGCAATCATCTAATAATATATTATCATACATATATTTAAAGTAGTATTGTTTGTGTATAACACCATCAAATTTTGTATTATGATTAATTAAAAGTCTGGCCTCTGTGACGAGTGTGTATATACATAAGATCCGGCATCCGATCATGTTTTGACTTTTAACATTTTTAATAATTCGAAAATATAAAATATTTATTTGAATAAGTCACATGTTTTATTTATATTATGTGAGCATAATTTAAATAATAAATTTAACAATATAAATTACTAAAAGACAAAAACATATCACGAAATCTCTTTAAGAGTTTATAAGATAATAAATATGGAGACTATATATACATGCCCCAAAACGTTTGATGACTAATTTCACAATTGTTATTTGTAGATTAACTTTGATAAAAATAAAGGAACACTCCAGACTGTCTGGTTGGGTGTCTGCAAAAATTTAAAAGAATACAAAATAAATAAGATAACAACATGAATAGAACGATAAACGGAATAAGAAAGGGAAACTACTTGGCAATATACAAAACGACGGCTCGCGGTGACGTCAGAATAACTGATAAAATGAAAGAAAAACACAAAAACACATATTGCAAACTGATAAGGGGTAAAGAGTAGCCGAGATTGTCAAACAATGGTTAGAAAAGTCAGATAAGAAGGTAAATAACCTGAATGCAAAAACTTTAAGCAGGCGCCGTGGTCAGCCCAGAAAGAGATAAAGGGCCCGGATCGTAAGCCGATAATAATGTGTGGGTGTGGCCGCGCCCTATCGACGAGAGTGGGCGGCAATAACAACGACCAAAGCCCGGAAGACGTAGTACGGGCAAAAGATAAAGACCAAATGCTGTAGACGCCAGACTCCCGACTTAAGACTCGGACAACATAAAGGTCATACAGTACAGCCATTGAGAACTTATATATGTATAAAATAAAATTGTATGTATATAAATATAAATGCATGTATGTATATATCCCAGAGTCAAGAACATGGCTGCTCCCGAAGCAAATACCCAGAGACTTGGTTTATCAGCGTTTTGTTTCTTTTGTTTGGCTTTGTTGCATTGTTTTCCTTTTGGGTGCCCAGCGATAATTTATTTTAAATATAAAATATTAATGGTCATTTAAAAGGAATTAAAAGCGGGAATTACAATAAGCGAAACGCCAACCAGATAAGCCGAGCTATTCAACAACAACAACTCTGTTGGAAAATACCAATGAAATTGAAAAGTGCGCAGAGGCTACAGCTTGAAGACCAACCCACTATAAATGATATACATACATATATGTAAATATACATATACATATAAACATCTATATATACATAGATAATTATACATACAATCATTAGTCGCATCATCGTGACGATGCCGTCGAAGATAAGTAAAAGATTTAAAAAATAAAAATCAAACGCAAACCTAAAAGGAATTGAAAAAAGCAGAAATAAATTATTGAAATATGTAAAACGCCTCTAGAGGTTTGCTTTGGGGTCAATTGTGTTTATTAGCTGTGCTCCATGCTCATAAGTAATGTTCGACTGCTGATAAGACAGAGCAAGTAGTCAGCTCTGTGAAGAGCAGCAGGCAACTAAACTGTAAAATCAAATAGATTGAAACTGTGTTATGAGCTGTGCTGAGCTCAGCTGGAAGAATGAATTTTCCTGGGATCCTCATTTAGACTTTTCCCTTTGATTTTAAAGCTAACATTTGAGAAGTTCCTTAAAATATTTTACAGAATTTTTTAATATTCGAATTGCATTTACGAATATTATAATTAATATTTCGAAATGAAAAAATGTTCACATTTTCAACATATTTAATTAATCCTAAGACAGAAAGGTTTACGTGCTGTGACTATATGTTACAGTCACACACTTTCTTTTTCATCATGTTTTTGCCACCGTGTATTTACCAGTTTAAAAAAATATTAATTAAAACACGAGGACGTAGTTATTTATTATTCATTTATTATAATTATTATTAACTTAAATACATTTTTATAACACATCTTGAACTAGTTCCATGAACACTACATTTGTAAAAGGCGACAACTCCGTATATGTATATAAACCATATGATAAGGTCGCTACACTTGAGATTTTAGATAAGCTCATTCGCCGGCAATATAACCGAATAGAAAAACTGATTAGTTTTCATAGAACCACGTTACGAATCAGTCATTAAAGCCATAGCAAAATGTCACAGAAGGATAATTTTACGTTTCGTAGGGCTGAAAAGACGGATATGAAAGCCGTCGTAGAAATGATCCAAGTAAAGTATAATGTATATGTGTTAAATACACTCAATGATGCAGAGTAAACTAAACTTTTCCCAAGGAACTGGCCGATTTTGAGCGCATGAGCGACGGCCCGCAGCTGAGCGAGCAGGGTGAGTATTGAATTAGAGAAGAATTTGTCACCTTGTTGATCTTTTGCCCACATGCAGATCTGATACGTGATTCGGGCTTGGATGGCGGACACGAGTATTGTCAAGTCTATGTGCTCACAGACAATACTACAAAGTAAATGAGGACAAATACCTGATAAGACATGAGATCATTGGCTAGCCAGGCGTCAAATTGAAAGTCGCTACGCAAATGTTTGCTGATCAAAATGACCAAACGGTCAAACAGATTTCCCGTTTGGCAAACATTTACGTTCGTTGTTCGACTCGACAATCGGAAAAGATTTTGACAGCATTAAATCAACATATTAATATTTCTTTTAACAGCGCCAGCATTGGCTATGCGATCTGCTTCTACTCGTACTCCACCTGGCAAGGACGTTCACTTTTTCTTGAGGATCTCTATGTACGTCCAGCTTATCGTAAGCAGGGAACCGGTGCGCGAATGTTTCGGGAGGTAGCAGCAATTGCGGTTCGACAGGGCTGCCGGCGATTGGACTTCCACGTGCTCAGCTGGAATCCGGCATGTGAATTCTATAATCATCTAGGCGCAACGAATTTAACCAAGTCGGAGTGTTGGCAATTTTACCGCGTAGAGGAACAACAATTGGCCAAGCTAGCTGAAGAATTAAAGAGTTAACGAGCTGGAAGTTCTTTGATCTGTCTATTATGTTGGCCTTATTAACAATAAATAATACTTTGCTAAATTAATTTGGCTATTCACTGGTCACCGCTGACGCTGGCTATGACATGGATCTGCATGCTTTTGGTTGAGTTGTACACCTGGCCGGGTGGAAAGGGATGCACCCTGGAATGGGCATCGGCTTTATTCTTGCCACCCGCTGTATACTTAGACAGTCGTATACTGGGCATGGGCAGAAAGCCAGTACTTAGTGGCATAACATCCAGCGATATCGAATGACAGTCCACATCCTTCATGGACACGACGCCTGAAATATTGTTGAATTTATTAGAATGGAATTGAATCCACAAAAATAAAAATAGGATATGTAAGCGTAAATTTGTTGTCTTTCAAATGAACCAATTAATTGCCTAACTACTTGAACGGCAAAATTCGGTCAGACCGAAGTATTTACTAAGAACATCTAAAAGCCTTTATATAACATATTAATAATTATTTTTAATCATAGCTAAGAAACCTGAAGTAAATATATTTGCTTGTCAAGTATTTATCATTATAACGTCTTATTTCGAATTATCATCGGCAGTTAGCTTTTACAGAGTTATGTTATCGTGCCTTAAGGGCACATTTTGTAAATTGATTGATTAGTGCTATTTGACAGACTTTAGATGCTCGATTATTTTTGAAGGATTTATGTTGGATAAATATTCCTAATTGATTGCAACTACGAGTGTTCATAAACCAAAAACTTACCCATGTCTTTATATGCATTAAAAAGTGTATTTTACGTGTCAAGAAATTAGAATTAAATAATAAGCAAATGGGATATTCCAGTTAAAGTGGAAAAATGACGACTTACCAGCGGATCGACCACATACGGCCCACAGATTCTGATCGTTAAGCACCTCGTACATGAGATCGACATATGGATTCTCATTGATCTTGGTTATCTTTATATTCAGGTTGCAAACAGTGCGCAGGCGACAGAGTTCGTTCGGCTCCAGCTGTGCCTGCAGCTTGAAGAGCGTTGAATAGTCGACCAGATCGAAGGCACAGCCATAATTACGCCAGATTTGTGGCTGTGCTGGAGTTGCATACTTGACCACAAAGTGCACCTTGACAATGGGCAGTTCGTGTTCTGCTTTCAACGGCTCTACTTGTATCTCATAGAGGTAGGTAACCGTCAAAGACTTATAAATTTCCTACAAGTGCGAGAAAAGGTTAATATATATCTCTACAAGTTTTTTGTTCACTTACGATTGGTGCTTGCGATTCAGGATTGAGATCGATGAGACGCACGCCGGCCACATCACACTTCACCTTGGCATGTTGCAGCAATAGCCGTGCATCCAGACCCTTCATAATGACCTGTAGGAACTTTTGCGTACCGCACGTGTGAAGCCGGCAAGTTGCCTCCATGGCGGGCTGAAAGTCAATTGGGATTTGTAGATCAGTGCGCGACCAAGGGCAACTGAGCGTTATGTGATGTTCATGATGTTTGGATAGTTTACGGCCAGGCATATCGGTAAGCACCTCGAGCGGTATGCGACGCTCCTCGAAAGATTTGAATTGAAGCAAAGGCAATTGCAAAACATTCTCGAAGCCGACGTCGCTATTACTCAGCGTCGACTCATCGGATTTGAGAGCCTGGCGTATGCGTAAATTCTTCGAGCATCGCAACGTGATCTGCGCATCTGGTGGAAAGATGAAACTGCCGCCAGATACATTCAAATAAATGGGCTGCACAATACCCGCAATTAGTGTCTTGAATTCTAGCGAGGCGCTTGCCGGCTTGGTGCAAATCTCGAAACTCGGCGGCTGCAAATTCGACGGCAACTGCTCCGAAAGAAACTCCAAGCTTGACATGGTAATACACAATTGCTTAAACTGCCAACGTCCAACGCGCGTTGCCTTGCCCTTAAGCTCGACGAGATTAATGCCCGGCTGGAGGGCAATATTGGTAGTCTGCACGACGTTGGTGAAGTCCGCCTGAACACTGGGCGACAGCTTGCGCTTGGTGCTGCTGGTCCGTCGCACAGGCTGTTTCGTTTTCGGCGTATCACATACGACCGAGGCACAGTTGAGCGTATTGTCCTGCTTATGGAAGAGCTGCAAAGTGACCTTCAGCCGCGATGCACAGTCCTTCACGAGAGCCACTTCCTGCAGGCCTGTCTCCAAATCGTTACTCAGATGCAGCTCATAGCAAAGTTTCATGCAATCAACTACGATTTCTCGAGGATACAGACTTTCCAGCCTCAATTGCACCAGCAGGTGGTCATCTTGTATAATTGGCTTCGTATTAAGCACTTCGATGTCTAGTGTGCGAAAATGATCCTCCAGCACACAGTAGTTGGCATTCTCAATGGATGGCTGTGCCGATAAGGTGGTGTCCAGCGATTTCAATGACTTCAGGAACTCATCAAAGTAAAAGGTGCGTACGAGAATCTCTAGTTCGGCACAGCAGGATATGGAACTGCAGGTTTTGGTATAAGCCAGCGAATCGCCCATCTTACGATAACAGTTAGCCAGCTCTAGCAATGTCTGTGAGCTAAGCATATGCCAGTTCTCTGCCTTCAATTCTCGTAACAAATCCGTAAAGAAGCCCACTGCTTTGTGAGGTTCATTCAAAGCGCAGTAGAATTTGCCCAGATCGAGGCCAACCAACCGCGCAGATCTTAAGCGCGTCACGTGTTTATAGGTGCTGATTGCTAGCTCCGCCAACTCTAGGTAGAGCTTTTGGAAGGTTTGATTGGAGCCCAAGGCCTCTTTGAGCTGTTGTGCCGCCGACAGCTTAGGCTTTCGATTCGGCGAACGATCACGCAGCTGTGGCATAGCTTGCAGAAATTGTTGCTGCTGTTGTGGGGGTGCATCACCAATGCCTGATGAAAGCTGCACCACAATGTGCAATTGCTCCGAACTGGGTGTACAGCCTGGCAATAAACCGCAGAGTTTACCCAGCTCATACAATTTGTCCTTGGCCAGATTCCATATGGGAGCGCAGTGCTGGAAGCACGTCACTTCATTAGGTTCCATCGCCTGTTCGCAGAGCTGCAGCACTTCCAGAGCACAGACAAACTCCCAGCAGCTCAGCGCACCCTCCTGGCAGTCTAACTTGATAAATTCCACCTCACGCAACGTGGAGAAAAGAAAACCTAATAGACGTTTCGCTATCTCCGGTATGTCATTGCAAGTGAGCAATAGGTAAGCTTGTCGCTCAAACAAATAGTTGCGGAACTCTAAAAGGGAGACTCCTTCATTCCGTATTTTCTGACGCATCTCAAATTTGTCCACGCGGCTCAGGCAGATGCCATGGAAAGCTGTAAGCGGACGCTTAAAATATGCTAGCCACTGTTGCTTCTCATTGAATCCCGTGTGCGTGATGAACTGTGAAAACATGGCATCCAGCTCATCATATTGTATTAGGGCCTCTGTTGGTAGCTCTAATTTCTCAAAAATGAGTGCCAGATCTTCCTGCATAAAGAAATATTGACGAAAGTCCCAATCATCATGATTACGTTTCTCCCGTTTACTCCGTATTAACTCCTCGTATTTGGCAATGTTGCGATTGTAACTGGTGAGCATTAGGAAACGGATGCGCTGCACCAAGCATCGAAAAGATTCCGTTGATTTTTGCTCAAATTTAGCTGGATTCAATACGGAAATGCAACGATCATCGTTTTTACTGCCGAAATCCAAACGTATTTTATCCAGCACCGTTGTTCGAGGCAATAGGTTCTTCGTTTTCCGCATGTCCAGCGTCTCCACCAATAGGATCATCCAATCAGATATGCCATAGCTGGACAATAGTTTAAGCCACGAATCTATTTCCTCTCTTATCGTTGCTTTGTATGTGTCAATGTCCTAAGATAAAAATATGAAAGTATTTACTACTGTCGTTCTTATTTGTCCGCCCCATAAACATCCCCAATGCACACTCACACCCACATATCCACTTACATTACATTCGGTCACAAATATGTGCAATATGGGATGTTCAAGTATGCTCCAATCGCCCTTTTTATATCGCTCCAGTGGTTCGACACTGAACTGCTGGGTTTGAGCCTCCAAGCGAACATGTTTCGTTGGTCTTTGGAAGGTGCGTCGCCATTCGCAGGTATCCAATGGGATTGCATTTAGTATTTGCGCTTCAAGGGATCGAAAAAGCGGAAATGAGCCAGAATCTGAAAGCATTCACATTTTATATCAAATTAACCAAATGTATTACTAACGCACTCTACTTACAGGTTATAATTGGCTTTATCTGCATTCTTAACTTAATTTATAAATAGTTTATTTTCATTTGGGGACAGCACAAAGCAAACAGTCAACGTACAACACGATAACAGCTGATATCGGTGCAAATGCAACATATGTTTTTGGCATGAATTTTAACATTTCGCTTAATGTTATTCACAGCTAACAGAGGCAGAACAGCATTAATTTCGTTTAGAAATATAATATATAATTTATATAAAATAATTTTCATATTTTGCTTACACGGGTTGATTAAAAACGAAACTATTACCCAACTAAATAGGACGAACACATAGCAGCCAAAATTGATGAAATTTGATTAACAGTTACCTTTTAACAGGAATGTATAAAAGCCACATAGCATTATTATTGTTCATTTTATATCGATAGTAAAAATTCATCGAACAGCTGAAAGCGGGCGAAAGCTGAGGTGTTGCTAGAAACAATGCAGTACTAATTAAAAAAGACAATTGAGTTTTACAAGTAAATAATAAAAAACACCATATTTATTTAGATAGCTTAATGTTTAAGTGCACAGACAATTAACTGTTACGGAATATGGATATGGCCAGAAGCATTTTTGGTCGAGACCACGAGGGTTACGTGGGCCGTGAAGAACATACGGTAACAATTCAATTGAGATGATAGATTGCTTATCAATCTAATTAAAATTGCTCATTTTCCACGCTACCAACACAGCGTAAAATGCAGACCTTGAGTTCTGACGATGATGTAGGTGAGCTGCCAGTCATGATGGAAGAACTGAGTGTCGCAGATGGCTTGCGTCCAAGTCCTGGTGGACCCTTTTCAGCCTTGACGCCTTCAATGTGGCCACAGGAACTGCTCGCTAAGCTGGGTGGCGAATCGGAACTGGCAGCAGCGGGGCCCAACGACCAGCCCGACTACCGATTCGATGAGTTCGGCTTTCGCGTCGAGGAAGAGGATGGCCCCGAACAAAGCTCAAATAAACTGCTCAGCATACCTTTTGTGGAAGATGCACAGCAACGGTTGCAGTGGATCGCACACCTCGAGTTTGCCCACAACAAGGAAATCAACGAACTGAGCTGGGAGCATGTCGACCAACTGTTGCAACGCACCGAAAAACTACGCAAAATGGTGCAGAATGGCATACCACACAGTCTGCGGCCACAAATGTGGATGCGACTATCCGGTGCGCTTTCCAAAAAGCAAAAAAGCGAAACTAGCTATCAGGAAATAGTCAAGGGTAAGTATGCAATGCACAAGACAAATAAACAGCTTAATATATGTTCTTCAACTTCACAGCTTCCAGCAACGATCAGTTAATGACTTCGAAGCAAATTGAAAAGGATCTACTGCGCATCCTGCCCACAAATGCGTGCTTTAGTCATCCAAACGGAACGGGCATTCCACGATTGCGTCGCATCCTGCGCGGCATTGCGTGGCTTTTTCCGGACATTGGCTACTGCCAGGGCACCGGAGTTATTGTTGCCTGCCTGCTGCTGTTCATGGAGGAGGAGAATGCATTTTGGATGATGGTCACTATTGTTGAGGATCTCCTCCCGGCATCGTACTACAGCTCAACATTGCTTGGCATTCAAGCGGATCAGCGTGTGATGCAAACATTAATAGCCAACTACTTATCCAGCGTGGATGATACGCTTAAGCGTCACGACATCGATCTATCGTTAATAACACTTCACTGGTTCCTAACCCTGTTCGCGAATGTGGTGCATATGAAGATATTGGTGCGCATTTGGGACTGGTTCTTTTACGAGGGCTCCATTGTACTATTCCAGCTGACGCTCGGTATGCTAAAAGTGAAGGAACAGGATCTCAAGCATCTGGAAAACTCTGCCCAAATTTTTAATTCGCTCTCAATGTGCTGCGAAGTGGATGACGTTGAAGTACTGTTCCGGCAAGCTCTCGAAGTGGGTGGCTCGTTGAGCCAGACCGTAATCGACACACATCGTCGTCGCCATCTGGCCTATTTAATGGCAGATCAGGGCCATCAGATAGGCAATCCAGAGGTGGCAGCCAATTTGCCTAAGCAGCATCTGTCCAGGCGGCAAGTGCGAAAAAGTAAATCGATACTAGAAGCATTTCTATTTCGCGGCGATCCTGAATCAGATCAACTGAAAAACAAAAACATACGCCAGACCGAAATACTTGTAGATCTGCGGGAGGCAATCCTAAAGGTGGGTCGTCACTTCATCACCATCGAACCAAAACTGGCAGGACACATTCAACTAACGGCGAACTACAGCAGCGAATCCCATGCCAAGGATCACGAGAACTTCATTAATGTTGCTCGCACACGTAAGCGCCGGGCTAAGGCTTTGCATGACTTTGAGCGACATGATGACGATGAGCTGGGCTTCAGGCGGAACGATATCATCACCATCATCAGCCAGAAGGACGAGCATTGCTGGGTGGGAGAGCTAAATGGACTGCGTGGCTGGTTTCCAGCAAAGTTCGTGCAGCTGCTGGATGAGCGCAGCAAGCTGTATACCTCTGCTGGCGATGATGCTATCTCGGAGACGGTTACGGATCTTGTCCGTGGAACTCTGGCACCAGCTATTAAAGCATTCCTCGAACATGGCATGAAGCGACCCACATTTCTAGGGGGTCCAATACACCCGTGGCTGTTCATTGAAGAAGTTTCCTCCCTGGAGGTGGAAAAGGATTTTAAGTCTGTGTACAGCCGTTTGGTTCTCTGTAAAACTTATCGCCTTGATGAAGACGGCAAGGTGTTGACTCCCGAGGAATTGCTCTATCGCTGCGTGCAAGCGGTCAATCAATCACACGACAATGCACATGCCCAAATGGATGTCAAACTGCGCTCCCTCATCTGTTTAGGCCTCAACGAACAGGTTCTACATCTGTGGCTAGAGGTGCTCTGCGCGTGCCAGGAGGTTGTGCAGAAGTGGTATCACTCTTGGAGTTTCATCGATTCGCCCGGTTGGGTGCAAATTAAATGCGAATTGCGCATACTTTCACAGTTTGCCTTTAATCTAAATCCCGACTGGGAGTTGCCACCAAAGCGCGGCAAGGAATCGCAGCCACTTAAAGATGGTGTGCGCGACATGCTTGTTAAGCATCATTTATTCTCTTGGGACCTATGAATCCGGCTGATCTGAGGAAATACGTTGCATAGCTTTCTACATCCTTTTTATATAAATTTGCATAGCGCTCTTCATTAAGTATGTACAATCATGCACGTTGCCTAAACCTCCTAAGTATTTAATCTGAACAAAAATTCTAAGCAGAAACTATGCTCTAATATCTCATTATTTTAGCTATTGTGCAATCTTTTTTAAGAAACTTTAATCTTCGGTTAGCCGAAGCATCATATCCTTGCAGATTCAGTGTAGATAACATCTAACAAAATATGCATTGCAAGGATATAAAATTAGCTTGTTATAAACTTTGCTGTACGCTTATCATTAAATTAAGGTATATTTGCTTATAAATATAAATGTAGTTCTTGCTATTTAATTAATTAAAATTATATCCATCCATATTTTTAGCTCCCACACAAAAAGAGAAAACAGCACACAGAATTGTACTAAATTACAAAATAATGTACCTTTGAATTTAAATCAAATCTTATAAGTATTTATAATATATATACACCTAAATATTTAAAAATCTTAAATGCATTTCATTAAAGTTTAATATATATATATATATATATACATATATATAGAAATTGTACACTAGTTGACTTCTTAATTGCAGACCAGACCCAAATAATCATCCATCAAAGTTCCTATAGCAAACTGTTGGAAAGTGATTAGATATCACAATTAGAAGAACATGAGGATTTCAATCAACTTACAATGCCAGTAGCGTCCACACGCGTACCCACAATCTTTAGACGTATTTTATCCTCACCAGAAATAACGACGTCTTCGTCTTTAGACTTGTAGCAAGGCGGGTTTCCATTTGGACAGAATTGCATGTCAGCGGGAATGGACTGAAAAAATGTACAGTTGTTATTCAGTTTGCACTGCAAATAAACCTTGAAACAGCTTACATGGTGTGATATAAAGCACGACAATGGTCCAATTTCCGCAAACATGCCGACTTTATTTATCTGCTTAACAACGGCATCGAGGACTTCTCCTTTGAATGGCCGGAACACAATAGCCTTATATTTCACTGGATATACAACAAAACCTTGACCAGGCTGTATCACTCCAGACCCAATGAGATCTATTGTTGTGACTGCAATCACGAAACCATATTTGCCCGTACACGTTCCTTCCACCTCCGAGTAGAGCTTCTGCTTCACCGTTTCCAACAATTGGGGTCCAAAGTAGCGTGGATGCAGGAGAATCTCGTGCTCGAGCGATATCTATATGGATATACGTTACGTATGGGTCAACGCCAACTGTACATTGTTACTTACATGATAAAACATTGTTATTATTATTGATTTTAGCAATAAATTAAAGAAATTCTGGAAAGCCAAGAAAAAGACGCAAGCAACGAAACACAAACTGTTATCGATAATTAGTATTGCCGGCATTACATTTCATCATAAATGCTGTTATCGCTATCGATATAGTACCAGTGCTGAAAACTGTAGCAAGCATTAAATAGGCGGGATTTTCAAATGAATCATTTTGTCCATATATCATACTTATATATTTATATAAATGTAGTTAATCATCCTAATTGTAACGAATATATCAAAACTAAAATTGAGAAATAAAATTTTACCCTCCATATAGCTGGCAACATTTTTCAAAACCATTGATAAAAACTATAAAAAAAAAGTTTTTAATGGCTACATATTGCATAAATATATTTAAAAAGTCTTTAACATTCATAGGACGCTGTTTCAATTATTAATTCGATTTTTAACTAAACACATTATAACACATTACAGGCACAATAAATAATAACTTCTAAGTTCCCATCACAAAAATCGCTTAACACATAAACTGATAACGCTCAACTACTCTTCTTTCAGACTTAATTCCAGCTCATGTGCCGTACCTCCTGGCCGGAATATGCGCACATAGGCCGACTTAAATCCAAATTTCCAAATGGCTACGGTTGGCAAGTAGTACATAAAGAGATCCATTATCCAAACTCGAAAATTGAAATACCAGCGTACAATTGAATACTTGTGCAAGTATGTAACAATAAACAAACCATAACTAACAATAAAGCGATCCCACAAGCTCAGATCATAGTAGTGTGATGTTTGCTGTGGATCAGGGTTTTCACCTTCAAGATAATCAAAGCTATAATATTCATAGCCTTTAACGTACGCCAGACGTTTGGTAAAGAAAATATTTGCGTTGACTGAGAGCATTGTATTTACATGCCAAAGCCCATGAACTAATGCTTTGGTCATATGATAAAATTCCTCATTTGTTTTCTCCAGCGCCGGCCTATAGACATTACGCATAACAATGTCTAAACGCTCCCTGGATTCAGCCCAATTGCTTCCACATATATTGTACTCATCTTTGATGCCCAACAAATAGCCCAGCACCCGCCACATATGCGATGTGGCCTCGAGAAAATCATCATCATTCAATGATATGCGATGAGCGCCCAGCGTTATAAAGCCGATGAATCCAAACTGTGTCAAGGCCAAATCCTTCTGTGTTATCTGACCGGCACCACGTCGCTGACAAGCCCGACTCGAACGTGAATGTGCTCGCCTCACGGCCGCAATACTCGTCCACAGTTTGCTGCGCCTGTCCTCAATCGGCTGGAAATACCAGGCGTGTACATGGAAAATAGTGCGCAAATAACGGCGATAGGCAGTGAGAGCATTCGATGATTGGCCCGTACAGATAAGAACGCGCAATATCGATGGAATGGCAAGAACCGCAATTAAACCAGCCAACATGCCTGAGGTCATCACAAAGCGATATTTGCTGAAATACCTCTGGCCGCTATTCATAGATAATTTATAATTAGATATGCACACAAAGTTTGATTGATTTGTACCACTCACCGTTTGAATAGTTGCTCATCGTACCATGGCGGCAGGTCCAACTCTGCCTCGCTGTCGCCCTCTTGGCTACCATTTTTTAAAAGATTTTTTAAGTAATTCTCAGCACGTTCTTTACTGCCATTCGACATGTTGTCGATTTTGTGTGTACGTGCCACTGAAATAGTTGAAATCAAAGTAAAGCAGACATCATCGATATAATTATACAACAGTCCACAAAAGAGAAAGTTATTTAACAATGCTACATTTCTCACATGCACTTGCAGACGCGTCAGTAACTGGACGTCGTGGACTGAATTTCTTTGCCTTGCACACAAAAGCTAACTAAGAAACTTGTGTACAATTTGCACAATCTGTACAATTTACACTTTAGGCAATTGAAGTGTAAACAATTGAGCAATTGTTCCGCGCGAGAGGCTGGCTTCACTGGTACTGATTGGTACGTCCAATTTTGATAATGCACGACCGGTTTGTAAGCTCTTCAGCTCTGGTTTGTATGCGTGTGGCTGTGTGTGTATATGTGTGTAACCGCACAGAGCGCTGCGCGCCTACTATTCAAATTATTAGAGATAGGCTTAACTATTTAATGTTTATGTTAATAAAGACGTGAAGAGTTGTCATCTTAGGCAAAAATGACAAAAGTCTGTTCCCATATGGCAGCGTGGTTTTGTTATCGATATTCATATTACTTCAATGAAAATCATTTTTTAAATCCGTCAGCACAAAAACTTCAAATTGAATTTACTTTTTGAAGGTATTTCACATTTGTTTACTATACATTAAAATGATAATATGATAGTTTTTCAATAAATATAGTTACGGATATTACGCAATATTAATATTGTGTATGTAACATGTAAAATATATTGTCATATTGTTTCCAGCCCAGATTATATAAAAAAAAGCATATACAAATCAATAGTTAAGCAATACTAAATAAAAATACATTTAAACTACCATAAAACAATTCGTCAAGCAATACTAAATTCATTACATTTAAACAACGTAAATTTTACTTTGAATCCCATTTAGCCGCAATGTTAAGTGCAGCTTTAACACTTGATGTTCTGTTAATGTTGAGTTAACAGAGCTCTTAACTTCTGCCAATGTTAAATGTAAATAGACCCATGCAGGTGCTAGCTTGCTTTGCCGATTTGCATTTGTAACTTAAAACTTCGTTGTAACATTTGCATTTTATTGCGTATAAGCCATATTACAATATTGTTCATGAACTTTAGAATATAAGTATATAAAGGACTACATCGCAACACCAAGTGCATACCAACATGTTCAAAACATTTATAATCAATTTGGACTTAACACTAAGCATACTCTTTGCACTTACACATTAAAAATTATTATTGTTATATGTGTGAGTGGGCAAACAAGGCGCAAGTATATAAAAAAGAAAACTATCTATTATACAACAACACCCTTGGAGGGCTTTGCGCCCAATATATCGGATAGTTTTTGCTGATAGCTAGCCAATGAATTGACGTCAGTTATCCCACACGCTTTGCAGGATAATTGCAATGCATTCAGCAATTGCATCTCTGAGAATTGTGTGCCGCGTTCTAGCAACGCATTTAGTATTTCCTATAAATAAAAATGAACATTAAGACTTTATCTATATAATCACTACGGATGCTCTTACATCTGGTTGCATGCAGAGCAGCTCATAGAAATGTTTGGCCTGATCCAAGGCAATTTCCCTAGATGCCGTAATGTTGCTTAGCGTTTGCTGTAGTGCAATCGAATTGCGACACATGCGTTGCACTGTAATCTGATCGATGTTCTCCAAGTAGTTGGAAGCCTGTATAAGAATGCGCGCTGCTAGGTGAGCCAATCCCTCGAAAATGTACTGGAAAGAAAAAATTCTTGAGAAAGACAGCCGTTTGCTGTATGCTCATTAGAATTACCCTTGTTTTGCGTGGGTGCAGAGTGGCGCTGAATGCTTCATCCATTTCGGACAAACGTTTCGTTAGTACCAGGACTTGACGATCTGGTTCCAGTATATCATCCTTGGATCCCACATAGCTATTGGTTCTGACGCTCGTCTTGGATCGCAAATAGTGGAAGCATTGCACTCGAACCTCCAGATGCAGTACTAACAGACACGTGTTTGCGAGTTCATCGAATTCCAATGCCAAATTAGTCATCACCTTGATGGTGCCATCCTTGATGGCCACATTTGCCGCACACTCGGGCGTTGCTGTGGTCATGCCATTGACCAATGGACGCCTCAGCTCATTGGCAAACTCTGAGACACGGCACGAAAACCATTCCATGCTCTCTTGCAATATGGCTAACTCCTTAAGGACGCTTATGTCAGCCAAAATTTCCTGCTGTGTTATGCCGCCTTCACCTAAATTGCTTGTTAGCATTTCGGCCTCACGAATATTGCGTTGCTGGACCTGGAGTGGACTTTCCTCCTCAGACGGTTCAAAGTTGCCACGTTGCAGTTTACGCGTGTGCCTTGCGCGTTGACTTGAGGTCTTCAAATCCGTCCAATTGGGCAGAGTTCTACAACAAAAGGTAACAATGTACTCCATGCTTTGTGAGCCCAATGATAAAAAAAATTACTTTAAGAAACGACTTATGTCCTCATCCTTTAGCCAAGCAACACTATATATGCGCTTATCTTCTGAATCCGGCTGCACAATGCCCCTGTAGGCGGTCTGGCATATCTCGCGATACGCCTTGAGCAGCGCACACACCATCTTTAGCAGCTCTTCCGAGTAGCAGGGCAAATCTTGAATTAAATTCTTGGTCTCCGCCAGACGACGTTCCACCATGACGGTGGACTGCAGTAGGGGTCGACTTAGATTTAGAGCTTTCATTTCCTCGGGCGTTACAATGGCTCGCCAGGCGTCCTGATTCTTGGATAGCGACTCGATAGTCAATTGCAAGTTTCGATTATGACCCTTTGATAGGAATGTATCCTTTATATAATTATCCACGAAATCGTGCAGACTGCAAGGTTGCCTATTAAATGTAACATTAATAAATGAGCTGTTAGACTGGATAGATTATGATTGAAAAGCTTACCCTGGCTTACACTTCATGAAGTTCTCAATCTCCTGTATGTAGCCCATTAATGGCAAATACACTTTGGTGATCACATTCTGATCGGGCGTACATATTAACAGCTTTTCTCGCTGTTTTTTCTCATGCGGCAGCAGACCTGTCATAGATCCTTTGCCGCTGCCTAGATGATTGACACCTAAATTGTCATCAACTGAAGCATCCGAGGCATTGCGTCGATGCTCCTTGAAAGGCTCCTGAGTACTTCTGTTGCTGCTGTTGCCAACATTTCCGGCTATGTGCGATGATTTGTCAAACTTGAACATGGCTCTTTTCGTGCTGGCAAATAAGAAGAGAAATAATTTACAATACTTTTTTTACTAATAAACTCAGTCACTACCAACCTTGGAACTTTACGCCTTAGGAAATATGAGTTAATATTGTTTATGGGTTCCACAAAGCCCGTTTGCGCGCCCTCATCTGCCGATGCGTTTTGTATATCCAAATAGTCCGTGAGCAACAGTTGCAGCTGAAAAGTAAATTATATATGAAATACAAGCGTACAGTACATATGTATGGCACATAATGACATATACCACTGACTGAGCTTGCGCCCAAAAGTCCGTCAGGTCGTAGGGCTGCGGCCCCACGACCGCATACTTTTGACCAACGGCCAGGTAGTTCTTCAGCAGCAGCGTATGCGTCTTGGCAATAGCTTTGAACTGCTTGAATATGATATCTAACAGGTTAAGCAACGGATTGCTATCTCCTGCACCACCCTGTAATGCACCATCAGCTGCCAATTGATGCGTCGTGTGTCGCACCACATTAAGCAGCTCTGTTTGAATTTGGACTCGCAGTGTTTCCAGCGAATCGGGCACCTTGTGCAGCATACCAAAACATTCCACGATAATGGCGATAAAGTAATTCATGCTCAGTTCTGGATCGATCAGATCCGCATCCTCTATGATCTCGGCCTTGTCCAGATCAAAGCCCTGTGCCATTTCGCTCAATGCTTTGCGCACGCGGGCATTGGCCTCAATTCGATCCGTGGAGCGACGGGCGCCGATGCCACGCGTAAAACTGGAATTCAGGCGGCTCGAGTTACTGCGCTGGAACGCCTCATTAGCGGAGTTCTTATACACTTGCGTAACCAGCTCCTCGTGTAGCCGCTGATAGAGTTGTTGCCGGCGCGTTTGCAAATCGGTACGAAGATCTGCCAATCCCTCGACGCCCGCCAACGGGCCACTGAGCGTGGCTAAAGCATCGGTAAGCGCTTTGCTGGCATGCAAATACTGACGCTTCGTCGTGAAGCTGACCACACGTTGAGGCACTTTTCGTAGCTCCTGGCTGCAAAGCAAAATGAATTGTGAGAATCGAATATGGCTGAAATATTTGTTACTTACATCTGCTCCAGCATCTCAAGCACGTACTTGTGCTGTACTGCATCCGTCCACATCTTTTTAAGCTCATCGCGACGGCATTGCAGAAGCCGCTTGCAGGCGCCCAGATTCTCTTTGACCGCGTGGATGCGCTCACGACTGGCAGTCACCTCGGTGGACACTTGGCTGAATAGTGGCAGTACTTGGGTCAGCTGTTGGTCATGGCGTGAGACGAGTTCGTTTAATCGCAGATCCGATCGTTTGAATTCTTGTTCGATTTTATCCTTCTCCTTTTGACGCTCCTCGGTCGTCTCGCTGAAGCCCAGCGATTTGATGACGTTGACGAGAAAGCCACAGCCGGCGGACTGAAAAGCCAAATACAAATGAAACAAGCGCACACGCCCAGCAAAATTACAATCCACGAATTCGTTATTCTCATATATGAAAAAGGGCGTATAACAACAAAAGCAGCCACACAACAACACGAACAGAAACACAACAACAACCATATTATGAGTCCGCATCAGAGGTGTCGTCATCGGCTTGGTAATGCCAAGCGGTATTATGGGCAAAACTTGGTTGCACCGTGTTCTTGGTATAGCTCTTGACTGATTTACTCCACATTATGCTCAGTTTTTATGATCACATTAATATCCATATACTTTTTTTTAGCGATGTCTTGAATAAATGTACCTCATCCTTTCCATATTTAACGCCTCTGGGTGGCTTTGTTGGCGGCGGCGCGTCCATACAGATGTGCTTTAATATAAAGATAGCCGAGAACGATCTCCCTACTGTAAAATTAATTGATTTTAGTTCTTTTTGTTTTTTATAACATTTTGTGTTGCAATTGTTTTATTTCTTATTAAATGAGCTGCAAAAAATACACCGATGTGGCAGCCCTGGCTGTCAGTGTGACCGTGTACATGAGATTTACGTGTTTTTGTAATGAATTTGTTGCTCTATGAAATTTAGCAGCAACATGTTGCTGAATCATACGAGTTGGTTACCCGCTGAGTTGATTAAGATTTTCGATAAATATCGCAATATATATTTTTGAATATGGTGCAACCGCAATAAAAGGTGCCATTTGATATTTCCATTAAAAAACAACACCGCCGACTATATTTTATTAAAATGAAGAGAAAGTAGGTTTAGAACCTTGAGTTGTTTTGAACTTTGAACTTTATTGTTTTATGATTGCTACATCATATATTAAAGTGCGTGAATTATTTTTGATTTTGATGTCTAAAGCATTTGCATCACACTAAAAAGCCATTATTGCTTCGCAAAATCTCTACAAGCGTAGCTACAACAATTTTCTATCCTCTATTCTCTTTTGTTTTCTGTTTTCATGTTTTGCTTTTCATTGCTTTATTAATTTGATTAAACACATTAAATATATTTATTACTTTCGGTGCCCGATTGGATTCATAATTACCTTCGATAAGCAGCATAATGCTGTGGTGCTTTGAACTTACACTATATATCAATTGTGTATATAAATATATACTTCTTGTTCGTTATTTAAAAAGTATTTGTTGACTGGCTGAAAATACATGTTTCGAAAATTGTGAAAACAATTTTAAAATCTGGGAGTGCTGCAGTTTTTCTCATTGCAGTTTATCATTTTTTAGGTACGATACTAATCGGAGGTATTACAATAGATGATTGCTTGTACTCATGTGTTTGTGTCTGTGTATTTATGTGTGTATTAGACATTTTTGGCGAATTCTTCTAGTTTAGAGAGATATGATCCGTTACACATTTGGTTGCACAGGTGGGACATTGGGATTACATAATAGTAAACTTTTGCCTTTTGAGGAATTATTTCATTTGAATTATTTTTATTTTTTTATTTTATATATGTTTTTTAATATCTTTGTTAATTAAAACATTTACTAATTAAAATGTGGCTTAAAATTCATGTTGCTCAATTGGCTAAAAGGTAATACGATTGCATCATGTAATGATTGTTTGGCCTCTAAATTTGACAAAAGTTAACACTTTCACTTACTAAGTTAAGTAATTAATTTAAATATGCGTAATGTTAAACATAGTTACACGACGATACGTTAGATCTGTTGCTGATGCCCTCTCGCTTGTGTGTAACAGTGTTTGGTTTGGGGATTACTCCTTTTTGGGCGACTCACTGTTCATGATGCTTAGGCGGCGTATGTTGGGCTTGTCGTAGTCCTCCATGGAAACGCCACGCGATAGACGACGCTCGAAGGAACCAGAGCTGGCAGTAGAGAAGGAGCGGCCGCGATCCACACCGGGCATCACGATCGATGTCAGCAATCCTTGGCCCTTGCAGAACAATAGTATCGATTGAGCCACCTTAGAAGGCTGCAATAGTATAATGGGACATAATGTTATTTTATTATTAAATGGTCTATGTGTAACTTACAGCATCGGCCAATACGTCGCCAGCGCGTTCGATTTTCAGAATGGTTACGCGCTCTTTCTCCACGTCGCGATGCAACTTCTCCACCATCGAGGCATACGGACTGAGCATTCCCGTAATCAAAATGACATCGACTTTGCAACCTTTCAGTGTCAGATCCTTTCGACTGCGAATTGTAAACATTGATTAAGAGTACAATAATCAATAAGCTTCAATATTTGTGTTCACATACTTCATGAACGCCTTGACATAGAGGCCAACGTTCTTGCTGTTCAATGAGCGATGCAAACGCTTCTGATATTCGGATACGATCTTGTCCTTATCTGGATTCTCGCCAACAATTTGCTATGTGTTTAATTTGTTATGATTCATATGGTTTAATTTTTGTTGTGCAATGTGGATAAGCAGAACGTTTGCATTAGAAAATATTTAACCTGCCGGGCGGCACGCTACAACAGAAAGCTGACAGCTACAAAACTCAAGCCATGCAAAACAAGAAAGCATGCAAGCATATATGATGGACTATAAAATATATATAGTAAATGTATATAAGAATTTGGATTTTTTTCATATTGGCCGATTTCTTGATTGAGGATCTACGTACCGTGGTCTAAAAGAGAAATAATACAAAAAATAAAAAGGAAATAAACATTAATATACATGCGTTGTCAGAAAACCTAAAGCTGATAGATTTTTGAGCGAATTTGTATAAAGCTGAAACAGTTGGAGACTAAATTTATAAATCTATGTAATAAAGAGAGCAGTATTTCAGATGAGTAGCTACTAAGGAGAGCTGAGAAAGACTGGGGTTTAAGTACACTGTAAGACTGTTTACCTCCATGACCTGCAGTGCCAAGTAAAACAGTTCACAACATAAAATAGACAAAAAATAATATAAAGTAAATACAACATAAGAAAGAGACAGGTATTAATTAACCACGACAGACACAGTCACACACGCACACACACACACGCGTATATATACCCATACTGAATACACACACATATAGGGACACACTTAGTGCAAGTGTGTGGCAATTGCAACAACGATTACTTACATGTCCAAATTTGTGATACATTAGAAAGCTTTCAGCCGACTGGGCCACCTCGTCGCTTTTCCAGCTAATGAACTGTAAATGCGAAAGGGCATGACATAAATTAATTGCCAATCGAAGCGAGGGCACAGACAAGAACCCGCACCTTGCTCTTGAAGGACTGCAAGACACTTGCAGCACTGCCTGTGGCATTGATCAGGATAAGGCCCAAGGCCCGGCTGGGATGGGCGAGACCGAAACGGGCGAGCACGTTGGCGCCAGCCCCCTCGCCTAGACCAATTACATATTTCACATGTAGATAATCGAGCACCGTTACCAAATCTTCGCCCAGCGCCTGCAGCGACGGGAAGGGGAAATTGTCGGGCAGAGCATCCGCATTGTCGGCATGGCCGGGCACATCGACGTGTATGAAGCAAGAGCGCTCCTTGATTTCCGTCATGCATGGACTGCTCACAAATTCCTGAAACGAATTATCTGCCACATGCGGTAAGTAAGTGCAGTCAAATCTAAATAATTTCTACCCTCTTGCGAACTACGTACGATTGCAGCCCAGATCGTGCACGGTTATGAAGACAGCGCGTTTCTCCTGCTGCGACAGATCGCCCTGGAAATGAAAAGCTATTAATCAACTGCATTTCATTATAATCCATTTCTATATAATTTACCTGCACAATAACAGTCAAATCGCCGCATTTCTCCGTGCTGATATTGTATTTCTGCAGGCCGAAAAAGAGAAAACAGAAAGTAGAGAATCAAATGGAAATTGAATAATGCGCTGCTTTGTTAATGCGTTAAGCAAAATCATTCAAAGCAGAACGTAAAAGCAAACTAAAAGGCAAAATCATATTCACGTTGCCATTAAAACAAGCTCATGCGTGAAATATGACTGGCATGAAATGACCAAAGAAGCGAGTGAGATCCGGGTCAGAGGAGACAGAACCCCAAATACCCTGGCTAAATAATATTATCCTTAGAGACTGAAGTCTAAATGCTCTAAGTAATTTCATAATTTACAGGTATTAGCTAATTGCTTTACAACTCAGGTATTACTTTTTATAGTTAAGGATTTTCATGTTCTTTTTTTTTTTACAAAAATTTCATATACAAGGTAAAGTAAAAGACTTATTTATTAGGAATTTCAAGAGTCTATATATTTTACAATATTATGCTTATCTGAATTATATTTACGAAATGTTTATAAGCAAAATAATTTATCCGATAAATCATACCATGAATCAATTCTAATATGAGTGGAGTATATGCACTTCAGTTCCTCTTAACTCTTATCAAATACAAAATTGTAAATTTCAATTACAAAATGAAAAAGCGCATTTTAATATGAGAGTTGAGCCATTCAGTAAAAAGTTCAACGCATGCTACCGACGCTTTGAAGTAGGCAACGGAAATTGTGCAGCGGCGGAAAAACCAACAACTAACTAACAAAATTAGGTTCATTAGAAAAGCGCGTCGCGAACGAACTTTTTATTCCTTTATGTGAACTCGCTAACTGCAAGCGTCAACTAGTTACTAATTCGCCATTAATGGCTTAAATGAAATTATATACAAGTTGGAAAATTATAGCCGAAGCAAACTTGGCTGGGAATTGCAACCAACAATTTATAGTCGTTAGAATTTCGCACTTAAGCTCGAATGATGGAGATCGTAATTTATAAATTACTTAAGCTGAAGGCAAACAAATACACCAGGGCCACACCTTGAACTGGACGTCGAGTCCTTTACACATTGATATCCAGAACACAGAGAGAGACAGTGAGGAGCAGAGACAGACAGTCTTGGCCGCCAAGCACTTATTGAAATTGAGTGAAACTATAAAAGTGTCAAAAGACCAGGGCAAAGAGCATTGTAGCAATCACTCGTTTCTAGGGTCTCTCTAGTCCAATATGTTTTGGCCCCGCACAATTTGCGCGAGCTCTCTAATGTGGTCCAAAGTGTATTTGTGTAGAGCAAGCAAGTAGACAGTGAGGTAGGTAAACAAATGGAAATGCAAATGTAGCATCATCAACTTTTAATAGCCTGCCCATGCAGAACTATCCATGGATATGGTATAAAAATAGATGGACTTGCTATAAAATGCAGAGGTAAACCGAGCCACAGGGCTGCTGCTGCACATCCTGTTCGCCGAATGCCAATAAAAAAAAGCTGCGTTTTGCAAATTAAAAACATAAATAAAACATGTATCTACATGGCGCTAGCGAGACTACCGCAATAAATTTGCATAATTGTTCGGCCTGGTGGCCAATAAAAAAGCCAGAGCCCAGGGCGCCCATAAAGTCAGGCTCAGATGCTGGCTTAATGCAACTGAACGTTAACATAAAAAGCATTGTGCGTAATGCCACTGCCATGCCACGCCCCTGGGGCACGGGCAGACGAGAGCGCCGGGAGCTAGACAAACAAACAAAACAACGCAAATATTGTCGTTGACTATGCAGCTCGAAATGGAATTACTGCTGCTGCGAATGACGTTTGGGACGAGGCCCGCAATGCCAGCTAAGAGTTATTGTTGTATCAACAAAGCAAAACATGGAAACTGCGCGCATTGTCGTCACAAATCAATTGCAGTTAATTGGCCGTTTCAGACGCGAGAAGAAGAAGAAGGTGCTCATGGTACTTTAAGATGCAGAGCAAACAATTCAGAATCTGAATGCTATGACACAATATTCCTACTATTACTACTACTACTATAACTATGCTAGTTTAGTTTCCTTAAAGAAAAGCCAAAGATGTTATTTCTCTGATATATTTATGGACTTCTTTTGCTTTGAAAATAAAATGAAAATATAAAAGTAATGAAAAAATTAATAATAATAACACAACTTGCTCTTAAGCTTATTGATCACTTATTAAAACGAAAAATATGTATTTATACTACATAACGAAAGCTGTTTGCTATAATATTATTTTTATAATACAGATAACAAAGCTGCCTGCTATAGCCTCAACCACATAATTTCATTTTATTTAACCGTGAGTGCTCCTTTATATAACACCTACTAAACAATGCTGCGAACACACATACAAATAAAGCGAACAACTAATGTTTAGCCTGGAGATCAGCAAAATCTTACGACACAGCATCAAGCTCAGATAAAGCATGCCCATCCGCTCGATAATGCCATAAAAAACGTTTATAAATAATGAAATTGACAGTAAATTGTGCAGAGCTCTGATGTGCGAGCACCTGCCGCTCGACTGACTGCACTTTACGACCTGCCAATGTCGCCCCCAACTTGGCTGCGTCACGAAACGGCACGAGACGTCAATACGACGTCAGTTGTTATCGTTGGGGTTGACGCATTGCTTGATTGATTGATGTTGTGGCTGCTGAGTGGCTATCGCACTGGAGTGAAGAAGTTTTTATGTAGCAGCTCAACCGCACATGTCGTATACGTAATGTGCAAAGCTTTTGCTGGCGTGTGAGACATAATGAGGTGTCGCCCGACTTTTTGTTTTCCATTTGCGACTGTGATTTCGAATTGCAATTGCTCACTTTGCTTTGCCCGAGACATCTGGTCTCTATTGCTTTTCTCAACTAAACATTCCCATCAATCAATTACAACAAAAGAATAGCACAGCACTTGGCTCAATCGTTTGATTTATATTTTCTTCTGCTTGGAATATAAAAAACAATTTGGAATGCTTGTTAACATTTATTCCCATTGCTGTAGGGTGCGCATTTTAATTGACTTTTCAATGGGTCAATGTTTTGAAATTGTTTGCCTTGCACTTGTGCTTCATTCAATTGAGATACACGAGTTTTTTAATTCAACGAGAACGCGCTTAATTGACATACGCTTCATTAAATGCCGAAAGCGTCCTTAATTGGGGCATGCCACGCATCGGGCGTAGGTGTGGGAAAGCTTTCAGCTCGCTGCATTGCCAGAATAATTTACTATACTGAGTAACAGATTCAAAGCAAATTGAACTATTCAGTGTCCTTATGTGTTAGGAATACTCGATAGACGTACTTTGCAACTGGAATAAGACGGACAAACAGACCGAGTGGCGTCTGGGGAGGAAAATGTTCATTGAAGAAAAGCAACCTTTCACATCGTGAATAAGTATAATTATATGCCCCACCCACGCTCTCCATGTCCCTTAAACATCTCAAATAATTACAGTAATTTACTTACAATTGTATCATCAATTTTATCTTTTGCCAATACAGTTTCGTCTATATTTGGGGCACGAGGTTACATCCAATTTAACCTCACTCTGAGGTTTTACTATGTTTATATATACGTATATACCCGAAGCGCTCGTAATGCATTACATGACAGAAATCTCCTCTGGTCAGATAGCTGCCAGTTAAATCAGAAACCTGACCACATTGTCGACTCACATGACATGAGCAGGGAGGTCGAGCTATCCGATTACGACATTTAAATGTCGGGGCTTGCTCCGGTAATGATGCAGAATCACGACAGAATCAAAAGGCGAAAGGGGCTGCGCGAGCTGCTGTAGGCAGGAAACGAGCTATGGCAAAGCTCACAGGGAAACGGGAAAAATAGAGAAAAAATTGCTAAGCATGCCAGCCATACAGTTTGCATAGGTATTTGATGCGAAGAGTCGAGCCATCAGCAACGAGGTCAATGAGTTGACACGTACACAACACACACACACAACACTCTCACACACACATATACATATATGCATATTTGCTGAAGGGCAATGGCTCAACTATGGCTGCGTGGGGCTGCCCCGCCCACATTGCCGGCAGCCATATCGCATGGGCAAGTGATATAGTTTTATGCATGTTTGCCAGGCATTCAAGCATCGCAACGGCAACAAAGAGCAACGTTTAGTGGTGCAGCATAACATATGCTGAGGCAGATGCTGATGCAGATGCAGATGGAGATTCAGATGCATATGCATATTGTAGGTCTATGCATATGCAGCGCCAGCAACTGTTGCAACTGTAGCAGCAGCAACCGTTGTTGCATGTTGACAGCTCAAAATGAACAAAAATCCCCAAGCAAAACAAACGAACCAAAAACGAGACTCTAAACTTTTTCGAACAAGAAAATGCAATCGGTATTATATCCTCCCACACACACACACATGTACATATAGTATATACACATATATATCTATATATACTTTTGTCTGCTGCATAAACTTTACCTTGACCAAGCTGAATACAATGAAATTGTAGTTTCCTTCAGCTTGACACGCAAATTTACAAGCTCTGCAAGTTTTCTGTTGGCTATGAAAACTGACGGAGAAAGTTGTTGATTTCGAGACAGCAAATTGATATTGATATTGATAAGCGAATAGAAAATAGTTTGCAAGCTCTTCAACAAAGCATTGCCCAGTGGAACTCAACGGAAAAATAACAGTGGTTAGTTAAAAGTTTCTATGCGGCTGTTCAGTGCAGTCAAGGACATTTTCTGCAGTTCGATGCTTAAAGCTGTGCCAACATCTGACGAAGTGTTCTAGTAAAAGCAATGCTAACAGCTAACGGCAACTGTAACACTTAAGCGGCAAGTTTATCTAGCCAAGTGCTTGTTACTAAATTCTGGACACATTTCTGTTCTCGCTTCGGTCTAATCAACGTTTGCTGTGTCTAACTCAATCCCTGAGCTTATATTAAGTTACATTTATTGCATTCATAATTTAAACGTCAGTTTGCTCTCTCTGGCTGTCCTTGTTTGTATTCGCTGCTCCGTCTAACTAGCTGAGCTAACAAATGCTGTTT